AAGCAACTCCATTTTGGTCATCACGCCAAGAACCGGGCTGAATCTCGCCATCATCATTTTCGGTATCAAAGGATCCAGGAGGGGTATATATAAGTCTAGACCTTTTAGACCGTCTCAAAAAATTGTGTAACAATGCACATGTCATCACAATATCAGTTACAATATCTGGTTGTAAAAGCATGGGTTTTCTTAGTACTCTAAACACCGCAGACATAATGCCAAAGACATTTTCAACAATCCGTCGAGCTCGTGAAAGGCGGTAATTAAACACGCGTTCTTTAGATCCCTTATTATGAGTTCCAGCGTAAGGTTTCATCATATTTTCCGTTAGAGCAAATGCACTGTCTGCAACAAATACGTAAGGTAGAGGTGTTACTTTCAGCGGTAAGCAGTCTGGCGGTGGAAAACCCAATTCCTTTCTACAGATTTGTTTATATAAGTTGGTGTTTCTGTATACACCACCATCGCTTATTCGGCCCTGGCACCCACAATCCACAAAAATAAAATTGTAATCCGCGTCGACTAAAGCCATTAATACAACACTGAATGTTTTGTGATAGTTGATAAACTCAGATCCACTATGAATAGGACTTTGTATTAGCACATGTTTTCCGTCGATAGCTCCTAAGCAGTGAGGAAAATTCCAAGTTCTGCGGAATCCTTTCTCTATCCTTAACCAGTCAGATGATGTCCGTGGCAGCTAAAACAAATAGAAATATTGTAAATTATCATGAATATTTCTTATTTTTAGGTCACTGACGACATAGAAGAAATAGAAGATAACCGTGATTTAGATGCCTCTGAAGATAGTAAACAGGATGATGAAGAATCAGTTCAATTTAAAAGACCAAAACCTCTTCCTAAAAAACGTGCTAAAAATATTGATATAGAAAATAAAATGAACGAAGCATACGACTATATAAAACAAATGACTCAAAAACCCCAAATCCCGCAAGATGAATGTTCATTATACACACAATTATTGTGCAAAAAATTGAGAGGCTTACCAGAAAATACACGTGAAATAGCGATGTTGGAAATTGATAGATTGATTTTCAATCTGAAGCAAAAAGAACTATCGTCAAACCCACATGCACAAATACTAATCAACCCACCACAGCCCACGAATTTTGGACATTCCGGCAATCTCTACTATCAGCCATCCACATCCTACCATCCATATCCTTCTCCACAGCAATCCCCAACCTATCATCCATCGCCTTCTTCACAGTCATCCCCAAACTATCATCCATCGCCTTCTCCACAGCAATCCCCAACCTATCATCCATCGCCTTCTTCACAGTCATCCCCAAACTATCATCCATCGCCTTCTCCACAGCCATCCCCAACCTATCATCCATCGCCTTCTTCACAGCCATCCCCAACCTATCATTCATTATCTTCTCCACAGCCATCCCCAAACTATCCATCTCCACAGCTGTCGCAAGTCGAAACATCAGCTTCGCAAAGTCTATTAAAAGATTTCTATGAAGAGGAGGGTAGTAATTTAGTTTAAATGGATGATGTCAATTTCTATTTGTTTACGATTTGAAAAAAATAAATGCTTAATTCTACTACTTACTTTTATTTCTTGTGATAGTTCTTTTATCAATGCTTTACAAACGTCCGTGACACAACTTGAAACTGTTTGGATAGATACCTTGAAAAGATATGAAAGGCTTGTGTAACTATCTCCGGTTGCTAAAAATCTGAGAGCAATTGCAAACCGTTCTTGTACTGGAATACATTTTCTCATATGGGTATCTTGTTTTGCAATGATAGGGCCTATTTTATTCATTAGATAGTTGTAATCTTCTGGTGCCATTCTACAGAAGTTCTCAAATTTTCTGCTCGGTTCTTTAACAAAATCCGATAGCATATCTGATCCATTGTATCTGAAACAAAAATACAATAATTTTTACTAAATTTTCCGGCAGCAAAGTTTCATTTTAAAACGCGCCAAACTTACCAATAGATACCATCAAATATATTGATAGGATTCTTAAAAATTACGTACCTATGTAATTATCTCAAAATACAAATAATGATTACCTTGACCGGCTCTTATTGAACGTTGACATCCACCAGCGTCTCCTCTTCTTGTTTTTGTTAATTTTATTAAGTAAACGATGTCCACAAAATAAGACAAAAACGGCTGATGCAACAGCCATGCCTTCTTCTTCAGTGGCATTGCTCCATGGCTGGAGGTGGCAATTCGACTCACAAGACATAGTGCGCTGCGCTAAACAGACTGAATCAAACTGAGGTGTAAAGCCAGAAGGCACGCGCCGCGCCGCGCCGCACAAACGGGTGGCGCGGCGTGTCGCGTGGCGTGTTCTTGCGCGTGGAGCGGCGCGACGCGTAGTAGCACGCGTAGTGAGAAGCCACCATTAGGAGTATGCATAACTTTTGCAATTAAATTTTGTTCATTCGTTTATTATCAAATCTATAATTGTTCTTGATTGATTTGTAATTCTGGTCGGATCATAGACTTTTTGCCATAGTCTATAAAAACTGAGTACCTGTTTAAATTTCTTTGCGTAGAAGTCTTGATTATCAAAATTTATATTAAAATCACCCAAATGTACCGTAATGCAGGTTCGATAAAAATGTTTTTCACAGATATTTTCGAAAAAATATATTAATCTGTTTATATTTCCAGTTGGAGATCTGTAGTAAATGTGTAAATTATAATTGTGCTTAAGATTCAATTTAACATTGATATACCACCATTGGTACTCAACAGCTACAATTCCATGTACTCTAGTTTCTATTTCACATAAAATATATAATAATATACCACCTGTATGTCAGGAAATTGTGTTTGCTCTTAAAATGTGATAACCTGCAAAACCAATTTCTTCATCGTCAATATCCTCTGTGAGATGTTTCAGTCAAACAGAGCATCACTGGCTTCACTGACATCAAGTAATGTAAAACCACATCTTTTTTAGATAGAAATCCTTGAATATTTATATGGTAAATATAGTTTTATCTGTAATTGGTTTATCACTGTAATATGCTTTGGTTTGTGTTTTTTATGTTCCATTTGGACTATGCTGCAAATTTTATTAAAGGGTGAATGGTATATGTCGAAATTTGTTTTATATTTTGAATTAGATTCTTTACAATTTGTACAAGTTCTTTCATTTTCTGGTATTTCACAGTTCTGTGATTGATGCCCACTTCCACCACATTTCAAACAAATAGCATTCTTGGAGCAATTCTTTGCAGTATGGTGGAAACCAGCACAATTGAAATATCTTAGGAGGTTATAATGTTCAAAAATTGTACATACATCCATAGATATAAAAAGTACACCTTCTTTCATAACTTCACTAAAGCTAGTCTCATCTAGTTCCAAGATAGCCTGATATCGTTGTTTCAGTTTTTTAATCATTACCACTCTTATTATTGAATTGGATCTAATAACTCTGTTTCTTTCTTTAATATCCTTAATCAGTTCTTCTTTACCCATTTCTTCACTAAAACCGACGACTTTAATCATAGGTAATTTCTTTCGTCCCACGTGAACTTTATAATTTTGTTCAATGTTTTTTTCCACTTTCTATTTTCAATTCAGAGATATCTTCATTATTCTTACATATAATTTTCACAGCTCCATCTTTCAAATCGGTAATTTTTGTTATAGAAACATTCATTTTGGCGGGATTAATATACTTGCTCAATACTTTCTTTGTTTGAAGGCAATTTTGATTTCCAGTAACTGGTTTTATAACAATTGTATTTTGTGGTTCAGGTAAATAAAATTGTTTGTTTTTCACTTGGATCAATATTTCGTCCATTTTTCACAACATCACAACATCACTAAAAGATAGGGACTGCTCTAGAACACCTGCTTGTATTTGTGGTATTAAGTTAACAACTGAATGTTGCTGTCCTGTATTTTTCGCCATATCTGCATATTTACAAGGCTTTGTCGTTTTCGTTGTATCTTCAATTTGCCTTTGTAACGATTCAATCTTTTCATATAATTCCTTGATCAATTTGATTAACTGATATTGTATAGTCTTTTAATTTGAGTATTTCCTTTAAATAATCACCTTTCTCATCCAATATTTTCTCAGTTTCTACTTTATCACTATCTTCCTCATCATTTGGTGTCTCCATATCTATTCTATCTTCTGGAAAAGACTTGACCTACTAAATCTGACAAATGTCTGACAAAAAGGCCTGCATCCAAAAACTCGAATAGTTCTTGCAGCGTCTCCTCCACCGCCTCTTCCGGTTCACCAAATTTAGCTGGAACACTCTTCTTCTCCAATTAGCAACACCGAAAGCAATTGATTCCACTCGAAATCAGCCAAATTTTAGTTTGTTTCAGGATCAAAATCACACCTAGCTCCTAGCTTGTACTACTATTTATGATTTATTTGTCTGTCTGTTTTGTTTTATAAATATATTTGTTCTGTGTCGTTTTATCAAAGTTTACTCTGACGAATCCTATACATACATTGTAACGTCTCTCGGGATAATAAAGAATTTGAATACTCCTCAGTTAAAAGTTTCGGTTTCGGCCGAAACTAAAATTGGACCGAAATTTCGGTTTTGCTTGAAATACTACTTCCAGTCGGATACTAAATGTAATTACCCATAACTTTTCTTTATATCTGATCTTTCGTAGCTTGCCATAAGACTTAATCTGTATAAGAGCTGTCATGAGTTTTTAAATACCTATTTTCATTGCATATGATGGGCTATGCTTACACCGTTAGATAGCCACATACTCGTATAACCATAGTTCTGTGCATAATCTTGTTACGTGCCCGTTTGCACCATGACTTTCTGTGGTTATACGCACTTGGCGACCTACAGTGTAAACATGATCATTGGAAGCGTGCAATGGCGTTGTAGGGTTTTATGTAATCATGAATGATATGATAAATTGTTGAATAGAGCGATTTACTCTTATCAGTCCCTGAATGCACCATTGGATTCGATTTATTATTGTGTGTTTTATGAGTATTTCCAATTTTTAGGCGGAACGCGACAATGTAAATCGCGTTGAAGACATGGTCTTTGATTACTTCAAAGAACATGATGCTCTGAAGTGCTTGACAGTAAACATAATTAATGAAATTACCAAGCGATTTGTGGATTTCAGTGATTCTGATTCGTATAATTCGGTTATGGCGTATGTACTTTTATATTATATTAATGATATATGATACATATTTAGGTTTTTTTGAATCATGCAACAATGCTTATGTTACTGTTTATTTCAGGCTGTACATAAAACAATGTTTGACTTACTTGGAAGGTAAAATGGCAGAAAGCGCGGAAGTGGAAGGATGTATTAAGCAGTTTAAAGATGAGAAAGAAGCAGAGTTGCAGCAATCTGTAAGCATTTTGAAAATATATTTAGTTCATGCCGCGACGTATTATGCTGGATTCATCCAAACCCCAATTTAACGTAGGATTACGGCAGAAATAATATTTGATTTGCATTACGGTTGTTTAAAATACGAGGTCTGCAAATTAAGTGATGATACTAATATTTCAATTCTTTTATTCAGATATAATTACAATTTTATATTGTCACCCTCAAAATAACTTCCTTCTGAAGCCACTTAGGTCTGGAGACGGTTCTTACACTTCTCATAGCAGTGCTGGAACTTTTATACTGGAATAGGCTTCAGTTAGTTATAGCCGTTTAAATGTTTTCGACGGTCCCAAAATGAGGTGATCTTTCAACTTCGGGAAGAGAAAAAAGTGACAAGAACCCAAGTCAGGCGAATGAGGAGGCTGAGGAGCCACATGTATGTTTTTACTTGCCAAAAACTCGTTTATTGGCATTGGTGTGTGACAAGGAGCATTGTCGTGATGCAACACCCAGCTGTTCCTGATCTGATGAACGGCGGTGTGAGTCAAATTTAATTCTTCCCGGATCATTCTGACTGTCAACCGAAGATCTGAACGAACAAGATCCCGGATTCTGTTGATATTTTCATCGGTACTTAAAATACCTTATACCACCGAAAAACCTGGGCTCGTACCAAAACACTATCTCCGTAGGCCTGCTGAAGTTTATCAAGAGTTTCCGTTGCACTGTGCCCAAGTCTTAGGCAAAACCTGGTAGCACACCGTTGCTCGAAATTGATGTAGCTTATTTTTAGAACACAATAGGGAAAATTATCACAAAAAAATCACTACGGATAACCAAATAACTCGAGCGAGCTCAAACTTGTACTGAAGGCGGATCGCATGTTCCCCTGTCTTCAAGCCCGTCGCCTCCAGTGTTACCAGATCGAACGCTACGCTGCCAGTCTCGACACTAAATTTACAGACCTCGCAGCACTAATAATATGCGTGCAGGTCACACGCTATTGGTTTTACCATATGGGGGCTTAAAATTAAGGTATGCATCCAACATTACTTTTTACGTCGCGTAGTAATCCCATTTTAAATATTTCTTTCAATAAAAAGCAGGTTTCCTTTTTAATTCCATGAAAATAGTATTATGCCTATTATAGTATTATTTTTGATAGTTCCGAAGGTCCGCTCCATCAAATGCCCTTAGGTTCAGGGTTCCTCAGTGCTTGAGGGTCCCCGAAGTTTTGTTTTGTGTTTACACTTGTTCAGAGTAATGACAGTTGCTACGCGTGAGGCAGCCTATGTGAATACTTGATACTTGACAGAATTTTGTATAGGACATTTTGAATGTCCTTTCGCAAAATCGACACATTTGTTAAATATTACTATTAGGCCTGGTTTTTCAGTCGCAAGTTGCCTACAATCTTGGTCTTAACAGTTATCTTTGAAAAAACGTTTTTCAATATCATGTCTGTAGTACAACGGTGGTTAACTTTAACTCGAAGACCATATATAAGTTAACTAGAAATGCTGTAGTTAAATAGCAATACCTGACGTCTGTTTATCGATAAGAATAAATCAATTCTAAAACATGTGTATGGATTACTACGTATAGCAGAGATGCAGAGTGAAGAAGACCAAAAATAATCCGCCATCGGCCGAATTTGATGATATAAATTCCTTTGCAAGATTTCGTCTGGCAGAAATGTACGTAGAAACAGAACTTTTCTGTTTCCATTAAACTGTGTCCCTTTTTTTGCTCTCTTTTATGCTTTTGTTGTAACTGACCAACGACGCTAACATCATTTCCTCATCTTTTGATCAATTTCGAGCTCTTCGATGCAAGAAAACAGTTTTTGATCAATTTTGGTAACAGGAATAGTCGTATTTTTTTTCTCCGCTGTTGAAGACCTATATTTTTGGGTCGTGGATTATAGAAAGGATGCTAAAAAAGGTGACAAACCCGATATTTACATACACTATTGTATTTTTTAGCGTATTTTTAATCGATGTAGGGTTGATTAGGCATTGCATTTGTCACTTTTTTTCTATAATCCCGTATAGGGTCTACTACTAAACATACTAAACATGTATACAAGCAATGTTAAACCTTACCTTGCCTGACGAAGGTTTTATTCAAATTTCGACTACTTTATAATTTTTTTGTTTAAGATTTGTTTAGCATGATTGCTACAATTACATTCTTCTAAAAAACTAAACAATTACATAATATGCAGATATTTAGAAAAAAAAACACAAAATTTGCATCTTTAAGAATTTTCACTGTCCATGAAATATTCTTTTAATTTTCTTTTAAACATTTATAAATTACAAGTAGACTTTATGTCATTATTTCGTTTATTAAATTTAAGTAATCCTTTCTGAAATATTGATTTGCTAGTTATATTACTATTGCAATTTTGTAAATGAAAATCTATATTTCCTCTTGTATAATAATTGTGGTAATGATTATTCAATTCTATGTAGTGTTCTAAATGTTCTGGCAAAAGATGATTTTTTATTTTAAATATAAAAATAAGAACCCAATATGATATGAAACTGTTTATATTCAACCACTGCAATTCTTGTAACATAGATTTTATTTTGGTGTACTTGTTTTTATTCAATATTATTCTCATAGCTTAATTTTGCAAGACTGGTAATTTTGAGAATACAGCTTCATTGGCAGTGAACAAGGTAGTGGAACAATATAGTAAATGCGGTAGAATAATTGTATTATAAACAATTTTTTTGGAATAGGTACCAAGACTATGAGAAGCCCTATAAAAGTAATTTGTTTTTTTTGGAAATTTTTGAAATAATGTATTTATAGTAATCCTCAAACTTTAATTTACTGTCAATATATATATATATATATATATATATATATCTAAATATTTAATTGAACATTTTCAATTATTCCTCCATTTATCCTAACTGTGATAGTATTTTCAATCAGGTATTTCCCTTTTAGCATACATTTTGTTTTAGAAGTATTCAATTTTAGTTTATTTACATTTAACCAATTTACGTTTTTTGCGAAGTCAGAATTCATCATTTTTAAAGCAGTGTCTATATTTTCATCTGATATGTATATTAATGTATCATCTGCAAATATCTGAAGTTTACAATAATCTAAAATATTACAAATCTCATTAATGTATAAAATAAATAGTAGTGGACCTAGTTTACTACCTTGTGGTATACCAACACACATATTTTTTTATTTTGATAATGTAGACCCAATTTTGGTTTTTTGATTTCTGTTAATTAAATAGTTTTGTAGAATTTTGAATACGGATCCTTTAAATCCGTAGCGATGCAATTTTATAAGTAATTTATCCCTGCCAATAGTCTCAAACGCCCTTTTGAAGTCAAAAAACACTGTTACTGTATGTTTCCTATTGTCCATACATCTACTCCAGTCCTCTAAAACCATTTGTGTTGCCGTTTCAGTTGAGTGTTTCTTCCTGAATCCAGGTTGAAATTTCTTTAAAATGTTATTTCCCTCAATAAATTCGATGATCTGTTCGTAAATAATTTCTTCAAACACTTTTTCAACATCTGGCAGAAAAAAGACGAGCTGTCATGTATGACACGTATGACGGTATGAGAGTATGACACAAGACAAGACGCCGATCTCACAAAACGGACAGAAAACTATATCTAAGAACCGCAGATGCAGGGTTGCATCATAAATATATGATGACCTTCTGGTAAGTTAATTGACGTTGTCAAAATACTTGAAAAACGCATTTGCAGGCAACTACAAGTTAATTTCCTGGTTATAGTTAACTAACCAGAATGTTAACTTGGGATTGAAAAACCGGGTCTTAAACATTTACATTATGAGACACTTAAGGAATGCTTCATTGCAAATGCACACTTGAGACATGATTACGAATACCAACCTAGAAGTAATTATCTGTTTTTGTATATAAAAACTAGATAAACAGCAACATACTGAACTTTATCGGTATGCGACACACTGTCAGTTTCTTGCCCTATTTAACGATCGCTCCTAACCTGGCTCTGATGATCACCATTTAGGTAATACATCTCCTAGACAGACAGGCGGAAAGTGCATCTAACAGAAATACAACAGCTGGAGCTTCCGGGTCGAATACTAAAGTTAGAGCAGCATCTCAGACTCCCCCCAAGGCAAATGTTCAGGTAATGTTTTTATTTTATGAAATCCGAAATTAAAATATTTGACTCCTATGATTCAAACAAAAGTGAATACTTATTTCCAAGTTTTATTAGGACTCCTTGAAAAGGGGACAGTGTATCCTTATGATATTTGAATGTTAACATTTTCTGTTCCATAATAGTAAAAGATTTTAGAGCCCACCTATAGGTCTTTTCACGGTTTTGGTCGCGCCACAGTAAACAACAGGAATTGCTTTCACATATACATCGGCCTGTGTATGCGGGTGGTTGTTTAAAATTTTTCTCGCCAACGTGAGTCTTCTACATTTATGCTTGTCTGTATGATCTTCAATAGGCTAAAGGAGGCTAATGAATATCACCAAAACTGGAAATAAGGCGACCACGGAAGAGAGGGCGAATAACGTTTATCGTTTCTCTGGCTGTGTGGGCGGTCGCCCCATCCTATTGGAACCACACACGTCGGAATGGAACACGTCATCGCCGTAATCCAGGTGAAAATAAGTTGGTGATCATTGGGTCATAGCGCTCCGAGTTCACTGTAACAGCGTTGCCATTACCTTCTTCGAAGAATGTCCGATGTTGCAAGTTTGCGATACAGCGCACCAAACCGTCACTTTTGGGGTGCGCAGCGGTCTTTCATGTAACTGTCGCAGATTTTCATTAGCCTAATAACGGCAATTCTGCTGTTAACCATGCCGTTAAGCTGAAAGTGAGCTTTATCACTCATGAACAAAATGAGGTTCTCATTTTGCTCGATAACTGCTTCCATCTCACGGAATTTCATTCGTTGTGCGTAACCTCCAGGCTGTAACTGTTGCTCAATGCCCAATTTTTTGGGGTGAAGGTGGAGTTCCATATACAAATACGCCTTACCGAACGACCACTGAGGCGAAGTTCATCAGCATGTTGTCGAACAGATCCAACGCGTTTCACACTTTCAGGGTATCGAACCGTTCGTGGAGCTCCTGTTGATCAGTACACCACGTATGCGAAGGATGGTGTTTCGATAAGGAACAGCTGGACTCCGAAGAATATTGAAGTGGTGACGAAACTCACGTTGTACAACCGTCATAGACTCATTATGTCGGAAAAAACTGTCGCAGGCCAAAACGCGATGCTCAACCGTCCACTGCTCTATAATGTCTACTGGTAAAAATGCTAGGAACGCCCGAGTCGAACGGCACTCTACCCACAACTCTCGCCCGAACAGGCGGAGAGTACTAGCCATTTCAAAAACATCCGTCCTTTGTGCCGGACCCTGTATATCAGCTTGCGTAGTGTGTAATTTCCCTTAGGCAAGTTGGGCTGCCTGTTTAATTATTTCGTATGTCATTGTGACACTTTTAAAAAAGCCGAATAACGGGTTCCGAATATGCAGGTACACTGTGAAGTGCTTGGTGCTGATTTATTTTAGTTAGTATCCGTAGTGCTAGTATTAGGATTATATTTGAGTTTATGAAAGGAAATTTTGTCTAAATTGATCTACTTTTCCAAGAAATTCATGTAACACTAGAAAAATCTTAAAGTTAAACGCTATAATAAGTTAGTGCAGTTATAATATTTTTAAGAGTTTTATTATTTGAATATCCAAAGTCTAGCAGCTCCTGTGTATATGTTTATCACAGCAAATGTAAGATAGCTGTGGAATACTCTTTAATCTTTGTTATTACAAGAGAAGCGCATTTTTAAGGCAATACTGACATGATAGCATGGTTATTTTGGCTTGTTGAACATTCTAAATTTATTTTAAACCTTCATTTTTTTTTGAAGTCTGGCAGTATGCTTCTAGAATTTAGAAAAACACCAATTAAAATCGTTGTCGTGCCATGGCAATAACGAACACAAATTAAAATTACTGCTGCTACTTAGTGTTGGGACGGGACCAATTCAGATTTGGGATGTCAAACCAAAATCTTCACGCATTAGTAAAGGCTTTCTTTACCGAAACGCGGGAAACTCTTAATTCACCTTGCTATCGACTTTGACTGGATTATGTTTATTTTCTTTATAGCTTTTGTTGTTTTCTGAGTGTCCATTAGAAATATATAAAAACAAATAGAAGAATCCAAAAGACAATTTGACAAAAAGGTTTAAATTTAAATAGCGGTTCCATGAAAATAAGCTACGCAAGTACAATAAACACACTAGCTTATTGGAGAAGGATGTCTACATTTGTAAAAAATGCTGTAATCTAGACTATTTGTTGGCTGTGAGACAATTTTTTGGAAAACTTATCAGGAAGGTGCGAAAAACATATGTGCTAAAACTTTGCACATCGCATCCACAATTCTCCGATTTACACATTTCTGTGTATTGCCTTCAGACCGAGTAATTGCCGACAAGGTTATTGCGTAAAAAACACAAAATGTCAACTTGCTGCCTAGATAGTTCCTAGTGTGCAAATAATCTTCAGCGCATCTGCTACTTTATCCAGTACGCATAAAGTGGGTAACAGGGGACCGCTGTTTTAATTTTCTTCTTGGAAATACTCTAATAAATTTCGCACTAGCTGTCGGCCTACTCGATTGATCGTATTTCCGGGCATTGTACAATTTTATATTGAAGATTGATAACAGGAAAACTCGAATTGCACGCCGATGTCAAGTAAGTCACTCTGACAAAAATGATTGAAGGACACTCATACGTAACGGCGAAGTTTTCGAGACGGAGACACACAACTACAAATCGTATGTCTTTGAGCTTATCAAACAATCGTTCACACACAGGGGTAGGTAGCATGTGTATGTATATATATATATACATATATATATATATATATATACAGGGTGACTTCGAAGTTGAGTCATTTATTTTAACAGTGAGTAGATCTGATCAAAAGAAATGTTTTTTTCCTTTACCATTTTCCTGGTAAAATTAAAGTAACAAAGTTATAGCCCTTTGGAAGTTTGAGTACCGCCCTGTCTCAATAATAATATTATGTGGTCGTGTTTGGCGACAACGGATATAATCCGCCGTATCGGTTCATCGCATCGGAAACAAAAAAGCGAAAGAATTTGGAACGATGTTTTTACAAGTATTTCATTCATTTGTATACAGTCAGTGTTAGTGAATAGTGGTATCTGTTGCGTGGCTCAAACGAAATAAAAAATGGCATATGTTTATGCGGATCGGTTTCCCAATCGAGTGCAACCAACCCCTCGTGCAATTGTTGATGTAGTACAACGGGCTCGTGAATCAGGTGACTTAAGACCTCACAGGGGACCTCACGATCAAATACAGGTCCGCACTGAAATACTTGTCGGGAGGATACTTTATAAAACAAGGTAAAAAATTTTTTTAATTTTTTTTTATTTTTACACACATATTTTGGTTTATCTTCCTTCTACAATCATTATCTGAAAATTAATGACTCAACTTCAAAGTCACCCTATATATATATATATAGGGATACTGGTAATCTCATTTTGGATCCAACAACAACGGTGACGACAACTATATTCATATCATCATTTTCAGAAACAACTACTTTTGTAATAACAAAGCTAATGTGTGGTGAAATAACAGCGAAAACGTAAATAAAAAAAAATTAATTAAAAAGTTCTCGGAAAAGAAATTCCAAGTACTGATCTGTCACTTGTAAGTGTTGTTCAGAGTTGTCTGCGATAGACTTACAGATACATGTATGTGCTTGACATAGCCAAGCATCAGTGTAGGCTTTTAGAATGGACTGCCTATCCCGAATGAATGCAGCAGATTGCTAAATTCGCATATACATAGATCTTCAACCGTGTTCACCTTAGTTTTAAGCATTAAACATTTCATTTCGCTCCAAACAAAAAAGAAATCACGAAGGATCATCAAAAACGATCTGCATGCACTCGGGAAGCCTCGATAGCATTTCGAAGACACTTACCTTAAATTAAAATAATATGGACAACTCCGATATTGCTGTGAACAGGTTTTTTTTACGGGGGCTGTCACGTGGCAAATTCATGTAATTCTTTTTTACTATTTATCACTTATCCGTAATTTGAATTTCTCTTCATTGATAATAGAGTGCCCATTCCTAGGCCAAACCCTTTTCAATGATTTTCTTTTGGCAAATTTAATAGTTTATTGATTGTATAATTTCACTCGTATTATATCTTTCTTTCTCATTTTTCCAATAAAATCAAGAAGTCTCTAAGAATTTCAATAATCAATAATAAATGTATAAAGATATATCAAATTGTTAATTAGAATGATATTTCACCTGTTCACATCAGGGTTCGCTGAGAAAGAAAGATATAATACGAGTGAAATTATACAGTCAATAAACTATTAAATTTGCCAAAAGACAATCATTGAAAAGGGTTTGGCCTAGGAATGGGAACTCTATTATTAATGAAGAGAAATTCAAATTACGGATAAGTGATAAATAGTAAAAAAGGGTTACGTGATGTTGGCACGTGACTAGTGTGCCATTTTTGCTTTTAGCACCGATGTGTAAAGGTTTTGTTTACAAACGCGGCTAGCGGCAGCATTTAGTACTAGTGCGCATCGTACGTGCTTTCGTTTGATCTGATCGAGGTGCAGGAGCGGGTTAGGTTTTGTTTAGGGTTGATTGATTTTACGTTAATCTTGAGACTGTTACTATAAAAAACTGCTTATTTTTCCAAGATCGATGCGCTATGTAAAGGAAAGTCACAGGACAACCTGTTTTCTATTTCAAATATTTTTAACAATCCAGGTCCCATTTGAGGTGTCGTCGGATGAGGATGTCGATATTCCTGAACCAGTACTTCCTAAGAGGACTACATCTAAGACGCAAGCGACAGGAAGGGGGAAGGCAAGGGGCACGCCCAGGGGAGTTAAAAAGTGAAACTCTTTTGAGTGATCATCGTTATAGTGTTTTCTAGTGGGTAAAAATACCCACATTGTTTTCTGTTTTTTTGTGCCACTATTTTCATTTTAATTCGATAATAACTAACTTATAAATCCTTATATTTTGACATGTGGCTGTGGTCGGTATCACGATACTTAATTAAGTTTTGACGACTATTGAGTTGAGCAGCTGATCAAGAAGTGACATCTTTGTGATCACGTGAAACTCATTACCGTAGAAATTAGAGAGCCGGTTAACATAGTCAAAAACTGTTTTTTTCTTTTGTACATAGGAATTTTTCTCAATAAAAGTCGTGTTAGGAAATATGCATACGTAGCGTACCAAAAACCACAACAAAGCACGACTCTGTCTATCAATCTGGCGTTGACAGATCCGTCAAAATTGTATGTCACTTGTCGGTATATGGTTTTTTGAATAGCCCTAGATAATCAGATGTTATTTGCTATCACGGTCAATGTAATAAAGTATCGTGTAAAATACTTTAAGCGTTAAACAAACATAATTAGACAAACACAAAATGCTGTTCTTCAGTCTATGTTCTAAGTAAGTATAGCCTGGCTGACTTCATTTGAAGTTCTAGGATATTTATTGAGTTTATTTGTTGCATACATATACAAGTTAATCTATTGACTAGAGTTTTTTTTTAATTTTGCTATGAAGTGCTAGAATAGGTTTCTAATAATTGTATCTACATGTTGTAATTTCTGATACAATTTTGTGGATACATAAACACTAATAAGCTTACTGATCATTGAATGGAAAACTGAGAATGTTTTTATTTAAAATCCTATTCGAAAATATGTGTATGGATATCTTGGTATTTGAAAACGAATTTTTGTTACCATTCGTTGATATAAATACAAGTTTTAATATAGTGGTGTGTTCCTTAAACCCTACCATCATGTAGAATAGAACAGCAAGTGTAGATGACTTGTTGCATGGAAATATTAACGGTATATCTGGTATTGGTTAACAAAAATTTTGGATTTTTTGAGGTCAGAAATGTCCACATACAGAATGAAGTATGTTCAGCACCAAATATACGAGTAAATAACAAAAAGAAATAAAACAAGAATAGTTGACGTTGTTATTTTTGTTTTTTGTAAACTGCACAAAATTCCAACAAATTGTTTTGAATAAACAAAAGCCAAGAACAATATAAAGGGTGATCCATCTGTTGGTTAATTTTTGAACTAGAGCTTATCTCACGGTTGGCAACACTTACTACATCAGTTCTGTTTTGACAGGAATTTAGTAAAGAGTCTGCGGTGAACGAATATGGACGCTTGGACGAGGACCCCATCTTTAACGAAAAAAAAAAAACATTTCGGATGAGGCCCATTTTCTTCTTGGTGGTTACATCAATAAGCAAAATTGCCATATTTGGTGCTCAGAATAGTCAAATGAAATTACCTAGAAGCCGATGCATCCGCAACGCGTGACTATTTGGCATAGCTTGTGGTCTGGTGGCATTATTGACCTTTTTTCGAAGTTGACGAAGGACGCGCCGTCACGGTCATTGGTGTGCGCTACCGGAGCATGCTGACTAACTATTTCTTTCCGGAAACCGTTAAAAATACTTGGATGGCGTGTGGTTCCAGCAAGACAGCGCGACCTGCCACACAAGCCGCGAAACAACCGCTCTTCTTCAAGAACAGTTCGAAAATCGCGTAATCAGCCGTTTTGGTGATATGACTTGGCCACCGCGAACCTGTGATTTAACTCCGTTGCATTATTTTTTGCGACGATTGAGCACTTGAAGACCAACATTCATGCAGCCATTGGTGAGATAATGCCGCAGACCTTGGAAAATGTACTGAAAAAATTGGTCGACAGAATCGGCTACGTCAAGCTCAGTCGTGGCGCGCATATGAATGAGATTGTGTTTCATCATTAACTGGAAGGATAGTACTCTCAAAAACAGCCGTTTGGAAAAAGAACTCTGCGTTTTCATTCTAACCATCGATTCAAAAATTAATCAACAGGTGGGATCACCCTTTAGTAGTAGCTCCAAAGGATCAGGGCCTTTAACTGGGATTTTTGGCCTAAAGTAACTAAGCATTTTTCTTTTCATTAAGGATTTAAATGGTTTTCAAAAGCCCAAAGTTCAAAATCTTAAAATTTTTGTTCAAACTTCACCCGTGTTCGAATATATAACTTGAGTATCTGTATATGAGCGCATGTTCACTAAACTTTCTACTTCAACTCTACAATAAAATTCACTAAAGGTGGCGAGCACCAAGCAAGATGAATCAAAACTAATATGGTATGTTGCCAAAATGTGTCAGATTAATCACTTCAATAGTTCTCTGTATCAATAATGAGATTATATTTTTATACTAAGGCTACATAGCTCTATTCGTATATGGAGCAACAGAAGCAAGCAGTTTTATATATTTTTTGAAACATAGTAATTTAGTTTTGAATTCTCTTGGATGGTGCTTTCCACCCTGTGACACAAAACTTATATAAAATTAAAAGCGTTTTTCCAATCACATCTGACAAGCCGGGGATAGGCCAAGTCATAATAATTTAGTTGTTTTTTTTAAGTTGGTATTATTTTGACAGTTGGTAACACTTCCATGCTCATTCACAGATATATTGTGTCCTTCCGCTGGGAGCAATGGATCGTTTTAATCTTGAACAAAGGGGGAAAGTGAGTGCTGTGTTGCAGAAACTTTGTGGAAATTGAGAAAGACTGTTTGGTCGAAATGAAGCTCCGTCCGCGGCTGGTATACGGAAATTCGTGAAGAAGGTTCGTGAAACTGGCCTGCTAGTGGATAACAGAAGGTATGAACGTGTTCGACCCGCTCGTACAGCCGAAAACATTGCTGTTGTGGCCCAGAGTGTGCGTGAAAACGCAAGAATGTCAACTCGTCACAGAGCACAACAAGTGGATATCAGTCGCACTTCTGTGCGGAGAATATTGCATAACGACCTGGGATTATTTCCTTACAAGGTGCAACTTTTGCAATAGTTGTAACAAAATCAATTAGAAACGGACGTCAATTTTGGTCGCCAAATCATCTTTTCCGACGAAGCTCATTTACATCTGGGAGGTTACGTTAACAAGCAGAACTGTAGGATTTGGGGTTCTGAAAATCCACATGTCGTCATAGAAAAACCAATGCATCCAAAAAGAGTAACTGTGGCTTTTGGAGTGGTGCGATTATTGGTCCCTACTTTTTCCAAGATGAAGATGATAACAGCGTGACGGTAAACGGGGAACGCTGTACAGACATGTTGAGGAGTTTTTTGTGGCCACTATTAGACGACATGCACTTGCATAATCTCTGGTTCCAGCAGGATGGCGCAACATGCCACACCAGCCGAGAAACAATCGATCTTTTACACATTAAGTTCGGTCATCGCGTAATCAGCCGTTTTGAAGACGTTCATTGGTCAGCCCGCAGCTGTGATTTGAAGCCCATGGATTACTTCATATTGGGTACTGTTAAGGACCGCTGTTACACTACGATCCTCAAACAATTGATGGTCTTAAGGAAAATATCCGTCGAGCTATTGATGAAAAAGACCCACAAACTATTGAAAATGTGCTTCAAAACTGAGTTAAGAGGATGGACTACTGCCAGACCAGCCGCGGTAGCCATTTAACTGAAATTGTTTTTCATAAATAAACGGAAGGTGTATTCTCTTGAATAACGTATCGAATGTTACATATTTTTGAAGAGAGTAGTTTTAATACCAATTTAAAAAAGAAACCAACGAATGGTCCACCCTTTTATCTTTTTCTTTTTTGGTGTGCTCCAACTTCCTTCTGACGATGCTTTTAAAATAAAGCGAAACTTGTTACAAGTCATCTCCCGTGTTTTACTGTGGAACTCTGTACAGCAAATTGATAGAATTGATTGAATCACCAGAAACTAGTCGTTTACCACTTACAGCTATGGCCATGTCGTTCAATGGTTTCCAGAGTGTTTTTATTCAACTTTTGCTGGGGTGCATCGTGTTTTAATAATAAATTTATTCATCCTGTAGATCTTGAAAAAAGATTGGACATGTCGTTTGATGTTTAAAAGCTACACTTAAAAATATATAAAAATATAGCACGGATTTAAGCACAGCATACATGCTAATGAAATAGTTTATGAAAAAATATGACAGATTAAAATTTTAAGAATTCCAGCACGGAATAGAAGCAATTTTCTAGAAGAAGCTCTTTTAGTGACCTCTTAAAGCCACTCATGAGTTTCAGAGAATGAGGTAAAGAGTTGAAGAGCCTATCACCCATGTAAAATGGGCTACTTTCATTTAGAGTTGTTTTGTGATTAATAGACCTCAAAGTTAGTACGACCAGAGCATAGAAAACACTATGCCGTTGCAGAAATACGTGTGATTCCATAACAGAACAGTCATCATGGTCGGCGCATGAAGCCAGCAGCGGCCGCGGCCGATAGGTACACTATCCGTACAGAGAAATCTATGATGTGTGAAATATGTCTAATTAGGTGTGTATAATTACCAATGTTGGGTGCGTATAAATGTACCAGAACATAAGAATTGAGATAACCCCCATCCCCAAGTTTGAAAGCTTTTTATTTTTTTTTTTTTCGTTTTAGTGATGATCTTTTAGTTCTCATTACTACAAATTTCAGTTTTTTCTTAGACTGGGTACTGATTGACGGACAGTGTCATTCTACATAGTGACAGCAAGACAGTTACGCCACTTTTATTAATTCGTGAATGTATTTATTAAATTCATTATAAATGTTCAAACTGCAATCCTTCAGCAGCAATGCAAGCTTGACATCTTAAAATTGTTTGGATTACCAGAGGCCAGAGGGGAGCGCGGGGGGCGCCCTCCCCCCTAGACGTCTCACACTTGCTTTTGTAATCTAACGCCATTGTGTTACTTTCTGACTTATCATGGGCCCAGAGGCATACTTACTATAAGTTATAACTATAGGAACTGAGCATTCCCATTTTTTTGGTATCCTTTGGTATTCCAAATGATGTCCCTCTTTGACATAACTTGTTTACAGCACAATTCTTACGATTTATACGTATATACGAGTATTGTGACTTGTGACAAATCTAAGTCTGGGTAATATGTTAGCTATACAGATTGCACTTAAAAAGTTATTTATGTTCTGTTTGTTGATCAATAGTAATTTAAAAGTGTGTAAAGCTTGACTGCGAAGCACTGTGTTAGATGAACGCCTAAATTGGAAATAGACATTTATGAGATTCCTTTAGCGGTGCGCCTGTGGCCTGTCCAGAAACTGCGTCGATCGATGCTCAGTCAGTCCCGCATCTCTTCCCGCGTATGTGTCTATTTATGTTGCTATATTGAATTCGTTTAAATCACAGAGCTGCTGCACTACTCGTGAATATGTGTAGCCCTGTATTCCTATACTTGTTTCGTACAAACATACATTATCAAAATAATTACGATCTAATTTTTACATGCGATCAACACCGGCTCGAAAACTGAGAAAACAACTATTCCGTAAATCTAAGTTCGACGACGAAGTCTGAAAAATAACTGTAACATCTATATTGAATTTCAAAAACCCCAACCCCTACTGAGCGGGGCCGTGACAAATGCTTGTTCCGGAAATAGTTGTATCCAGTATAAAACATCTTCCCGTTCAAGTGATTGTACACGAGTTAAGGAACACCTCATAACCGATTGCCGGGTGGCGGTACAAGTCCACCAACGGGCCACTTTAGGTCTATTTAATATCATTAACACGCAAAAAGAAGGTGGTAGACAAGGACCAGTCGACCGATGCGGTACCACCCGCTATAAATGTCCGCATGTTTCCACACCTAAGCTATGCAGTCGGTTATCTTCCAAAACAAAGAAA